CCCCCCCCCCTCTGCCCCTCTGACTCGCCCCCTTATCCCAAAAGGACTTTCGAAACGCCCTGCTATTTTCCACCTCAACCCTCGGGACTCCTTACCCTCGACGCATAGCGACAGCACAACCCCTTTGGCAATTGCCACCCTTATCCATATTTTCACGTCTTATCGCGTCCGGGATCTTAACATCTTCAGACCTGAGAAGATTCAATTTTCCATGTACTGAAAATTCTCACGGTTAGATTTCCCTTGGTTTAGAGCATAGGCATAAAACTGTTCCAATATGGAACGTTTGTATAGGCGTTTTCTTGAAAAACTTTAATGTTTCGGAAAAAGACACGTGGTCGGGTGAACGTCGGAAACTTTGAAAAAAAAGTAAAAGGAAATCGTGAGATAAATTTGAGAAACGGCAAAACTCGAAAAAATAAAAAATATCAAAGCATCGGAAAACTGTTATCAAAAGTCGCCAGTGATTATCCTTTTCCTTTATAGCATTTTTTTGTTAAAAAGGATCATAGCCGTTCGAGACTCCTGGCATCAGAACAATCCTAAGAATACCAACCAAACAATAACGAATTCACGTAATACCTGTATACTCCTACATACTATCTCCCACTAAATAGCCGACCGTACAAAATTCCCCGACGAGAAACGTATCGCTGCACCTGACAGATCTAACAGCCAGTACTAATTTAGAAAGGTATCTTTTATCTAACTCTAAATTTCAGAAGCTGGACCTGTCGACAGTCCTCTAGAAACCACACACACACACACACACATCGTTAAGAAGTCAAAGAAGTAACCGTTCAAAATCACGCGGCTGTAGATAATAAAAAAAATGAGCTAACCAAAATGGTGGTACGTAATAGGCTGGTTTCGATAAGTGGTCGCGAAGGAGAGCCGCGACTAATTCAATAAGGTCGATCGAAGCAGCAAGGTAGGTAGCTAGGTAGATATATATATATAGGTAGGTCGGTAGGTATAATGGTCTCTGTGCGATACCCGCGCTCCTTTGGGTGGAGGTTCCAGTGCCTGAGGGGTCCTAGGGACCCCAGACGTCGCGTCGGCTTTGCGCCGCACACAAGTCACGTAGTGGCATGGGCCACCGTATTATGGTCCCCGTCCCCATATACATATTACGCTGTATAATGCTGGATCCTCCACACCAGCAATGGTGTCACGCTACGTGCTTCCTGCCAAAGGTCTGGTCCGGTTGCATAAGGCCCCAAGTCCATTCGCTCGTGGGACACTCGTGATCGCAATGTGTAATCAGGTTCGCGCTGCCACTGTCTATTACAATCGCGTAGTAGTCGCACGCAGTACTCCCTGGCATTGGTGGTCTCGAGCCTTTTCATTATATTCCTTCCGTTTTCTTATGGTCGACGCCATTTTCGACACGTTACGTGTACAAGTACATGCAGATGGTACGGGATCGACCGCGCCCCGTATTTTGAACATCATTCGAGTTTGCAGTGTCGACTCCTGGCCTATGCGTTTTATTTCGTACGTTCACGCGGCATTTGTGGGCTCGGGCGTCGGAATAAATGGTACCGAAATGAAATAATCATTCGTTTGGACAAAGTGGCGTGGGTAACCCCCATGAGCGTCGTTAACGACGTCACATTTTTGCTACGAAATTTCGGTATTTTATTTATGGACACGAAATCGGATGCAACGAATATTCAGAGAGTAGGAGAGAGCAGTGAAGTTAGAGAGAGAGAGAGAGAGAGAGAGAGAGAGAGAGAGAGAGAGAGAGAGAGAGAGAGTACTGTGTCTGCTTTTAGTGAAAACTAGCCTTTTCGAAGCTGTCAGCCAATCCTAGTACCTACAGTACCCATAGCGTGGCCACTGGCTCACGGCCTCTAACGCCACACGGTAGAACAGTAATCCGTTAAATAACGCCCAGCCATTTCGTATTCCGGCGTAATCCGGTCTAATTTGAAATTTTCACGGGTCTGCCCGTGCCTGTGGGTCGTACGAACCAGAACCAGAACCGTCGTGTATATAGCGGCAACATCCAGGAGTAGCCAGAGGTTGCGAGAGGGCCAGATGGAAAGAGAGCAAGTGAAAGATAGCGAAAGACAGAAAAAGAGAAGGTAGAAACGGTAACGGAGCAGATGAAAAAAGGAGGAAGGGAAAAATAAAAGAGAAAAAGAAAAAGAAAAGCTATAGAAGGCTCGGGCGCCGCGGCAATAAGTTGAATTCCCAAACGGGCGGGTGTGGCGACTGGCGGCCCGCGCCGGCCACCAACGACACCGGATACCGCTATCTCCTCTCTCGCAGTCGTGCATTTTCGAACGGATCTCTCTTTCTCACTCTCTCACACTCTGGACACACTTGATCCCGTCTCTTTCTCTCCCGCCACTCTCGCAACCAATTTCGCTTGGCGAATCGACGCCAGAGCTTCTCCTCGTTGCTTCGCTCTGTCCTATCGGTCTTTGCTGCGGCTCTCTACTTCCACGGCAATAGTCTTTGGCCTTTCCGACACTGTCCCTCATTCCTTTTCCTTCGTTCCCTCTCTTTCGCCGGTAAGTCTTTCGACAGCCCTCTCGACATAGCCGCTTTATTAATATCCTTCTTCCATTTCGCACGGTGCCCCCTACCCGTCGAATTATTCCACCTTCATGAACTATTCGCCCCGGCAGACTGCCCGGGGAAAGTCTTTCGAATATATCAAACGCTGGATAGAAAGGAGACGAATGTAGTCCCGTTGGATGTCGACGGTGAAGACGATTTTCACCACCCTCGTGAATGAGAGTCTCTGACCGGGATCTCTCGATTCACCTTCTGCCTCCAATGGACCTCGTTCGGATCCGTCGAGAGCTGGGATTATCCGTAGATTTTCCTCATTCTCTACGTACCCTTTTTTTCTCCTTTTAACCTTTTTCCATCTATCTCCTTTACTTTATTTCCCACTTTCATCGGATATCCACTGCTTTGCCATCTTCCAACTCGCGAATCGTTGCTACTCGAATGTCTAGTCCAATTTTCACGTGGAGCACCGGCATCGCTGCGCCAGAATATTTCCCAATGTTTGGGTGTGTTGGTTATGGGAAGGTTTCACGTTGACGGGGTGTTCAAAGCACGAAGAGCATCGAAGCGAGGAAAAGCCAGGGCAGAAAGTTCACGCTTAAACGTCCCGTGAAGCTTTTACACGTATCGCGTGAGACTATTCACTCGGATGGAGCTGACAGAATTCGTCACGATTATCGTTAGCATATATATCTCAGTATCGCGCTTCGATAAGGACGCTCAAAGCGGTTAGAGAGAACTAGAAATTGCTAATGCTAAAAAAATTCATTATGAAATCTGCTGGGACACACCCAAAAAGAATCAAAGATTTAAATGACTATGAATTTTAGGTAAGATAGGATAAGCTACTAGGATTCGCAAAGAACTTTTAAAACTAATGACAACTCTCTACTCGCAAGAAATCAGGTACCTGTCAAATTCTACGAGAAAGCCTGAAGCGGAGCTGTGACAGGTCACTGGATGATATGGTATTGATGTACAGTATAGTAATAGAAAAGGAGTATATGTGTGACATATCTACGAAAATAATGAAAATATAAAAATATTAAGTACGACGTATGACAAGTGTTGCAAAGGAAATGGTAAGATAGTAAATGCAACGATATCACACCAAAACCGACCTGCGAATACAGCCACCGTGTAAAAGGCCGCCAGAAATGGGACGAATTCTCAAAAATCGTCGTCAAGCGTCATGTGTCCCTCGGAATTTCGCAGGTAATCCAACAAGCGGGTCCGGCATATATCCAGTCCGTAGTCACCGTGCGTAGAGAGCGAGCCTCCAAGTCCAAGTAACGTACCAGTGATAGTGCTTACTACGGTATAGTACTACTAGACAAATGTCAGAGGGAGCAGAGCGTGTCACTGATTTCCCGGCGAGCACTCGCGCGACACCCGCGACCGTGTGCGTGCCCTTGCGTGTTTTTTATCCGGCCGGCAAGCGAGGGTCCCGGAGCCCCGAGGAATCACGAGTGTGGCCGAGAGGGAGAGGCGACGTCGATGGTGGAGGAGTGTAACAGGGTGAGCGAGAGAGAAGGGAGGGATAGAGAATGAGACAGGAGTAAACTATACTGGAGGAGGAAGCGGCAGCAGCAGCAACAGCAGCGGCCAAATAGGAAGGCCGAGAGTAAGAATAATAAGAAGAAGAAGTGGACTATAGGACAAGGATAGGAGCAAAAGGATCCGTGGAAGAAGCAGAAGACGAGGAAGAAGAGGAACACGGCGGTATCGTGGCGCTCGGTTGACTCTGGTGCCGAGTGGTATCTCACCCGCGAAAAGCGTTCCGCGATCAGGTGACACCAGAAGTACCGCGACGTTACGAGAGAGGAGAGCTTACGGATCGTGACAGAGTGGGAGAGGAAGAGAGCGCGTGTGCCGGTTCGTTGGCGCGACCGGGACGGCGCGATAGGTGGCCCACAGTAAGTGGTGAGGTGCGCAGGGCAAGGAGGCCCACCAGTCGGGAGAGGGATTGAGTGGGAGAGGGAGAGAGAAGGAGAGAGAGAGAGAGAGAGAGAGAGAGAGAGAGAGAGAGAGAGAGAGAGAGAGAGAGAGAGAGAGAGAGAGAGACAGACGTATATATGCCACGGGTGGTCGAGAAGCAGGAGGGCACTTGGTATTCTCGTGGAGGGATAGTGGCTCAGGAGGGAAGGAGTGCTAGGCCGGCCGGCGGACGGCGGACAGACGAGCGAGTAAGCGAATGAGCGAGTCGGCGGTGGCGGCGTCGGCAACGGCTTCGGCAGCCAGCAAACGCGAGCGACGAAGATGGACGTAGTCGATGCCGATGCGAGTAAGGGAGACGGGGTCTTCCTGATCGCTTCTGAGTGCAAACGGTTCGGCGTGCGGTGGGACACTGGCAGGCGGGCGGGCTGAAACTGCTGTGGATAGCGGGTGGCGAGCGGTGCGATACTCTACGGGACGGGACGGGCCGGGACCCCATCCACATCTATGGCTACGACTACAGTGACGTCGGGACGCGCACACTAACGTACCGGAGTTCGCTCTACGTTACTACGCCAACGGCTCTGCCGCCGATGCCGCCACCGCCAACGCTGCCACCGCCGCCGCCGCCGCCGCCGCCACCGCCTGCTCGGCATGGGCTTGCGTTTACGGTCTCCCTCGGGCAACTCTGTCCTATTTCTCTCTCTCTCTCTCACACACACACTCTCGCACCGGTGATCTGTCTCTCTTTCTCTCTTCGTTACTCTCCCTCGGTCCGATGCTCTTCCGCAAGCACGCGGGACTGCTTCCGTCTCTCTCTCGCTTCAATCCCTTCTGTCTTTTCTCTTACTCCCACTATATTTCCCTCTCTCTTTTTCTCTTGCTCTACCCTTATTCACTCTCCTTCTCTCTCTTCTCATCCACTTTACCGAGCCTTCCACTTCGCCCTACGGTTCTTGCGATCCCTCGCTCGTGCACCCTGCCCCCCTCTCTCTCTCCTTCTCTCTCGCACACTCTCAGTCGCCCACTCCGTCGCTCTTTCTATCGCGTTCATTCACTCTCCCTCTGTTCGTTCCTCTTGCTCTTTCTGTCGCCCACGTGATACGAGGGCCGTCGAGCGTCGAGCAAGCACCCACACCCGAGCAGTAGCATATCGTAGGTCCGCCTGCCTACCGGAGCTTTTCAAAGCCCAACAGAGGAAGGGCTGCCTACCACCAGAGAGGACTCTCTACAGCATGGGGATGTAACGGGTGGCTACGGAAACGCAGACTGTCTTCCGGTTGTTCCACGACTAGCCACTAGGTCCCATTTCGAAACAATACTGCGCACACTGGACTCTAAATTACACCGGCTGCATCTGACTCTTCGTTCCCGCATGAAAAAGTTTTTCTTGATATGACAGACTGTACCGAGCAGAAGGAAGCTTGGCCCGGAGCCTATGGTCAGCCTGGGAGAATACCTTCTTCCTTTTTCTCTTCTCCCTTCTTCGCTTCTCTTATCGTCGCAGAGACGATGGGCTTACTCGAGCGGACTTTATACGGCTCTGGGCGAGCACAGCCGTGCCGGGAGCCATCCAAGACTTGGTATACTATAGGAGCACAGCAGGTAAATGCTTTACTTCTCCGACCCATAAAGCGTTCTATCGCGGTCTCGAGCCTCCCGGTAAAGAGTCTCTTCCAAGGGAGCCTTAATCTCCATCCAGTGAGCCAGAAAGCCAGAGCCAAGCGCGTTAAGTGCGCGATCGACTTTTTACAGACGTCTCGGGCAACGCGAAACAAAACCCCGTGAAAGTGCCGACGCCGACGTCGAACAAAGGGAACCTTCAAACGGCGAAAATACAAATGCCGAATGGTAGCATGGGCGCGCGAGTCTTTGGGGCTGTTAGAAAAAGGACAGGAAGAACAAAAAAAATATATATATATATATATAAATTTTCACCCTAGACAGAGAAGTGTACGCCGGCCGCACCCTTATGTACACCGGGTTAGGGTTAGGGGCGGGAGCTGGGCCTACAGGACCGAATTCGTTCCAATCTACCCGGTGTCACTTCTGAGAGCCACCCGTTACGTGAAAACCTCGAGCATCAGAGAAGGACAGATGTACCCAGTAGGGGGGACAGCAGTGCCCCATAACACCGGGCACGAGACACAAACGGGGGAGAGTTGGTGAAGGTTTCGATCGAGGGTAGAAGCAACACCAGAGACCCCGGCTGTGCTCCATCCTCATCCAGGCTGCGCCGAAGGGGGCTTGGATTATTAAAATTGAGGTGGGGGGCCCTACTGTTACGGGTTGTGGGGCACGGGCCCTTAGGACGATACAGGAAACCGGTACTCTCGCTCTCTTCTTCTCTTTCTACCTCTTTTCTTTTTTTTATTCATTCCTTTTTTTATCAGCCCCCCCCCCGTCCCATCGTCACTCGTCCCCCTTTACGCATATAGAAACCGAAGCCGTAATGCATGTTCTGTACATAATGTACCCCCTACAATGATCCCAATCAAGAGTTGTACACCCATCCGCGGTACCGACTAATCAAGATTACTTTGACTCACCGAAAAAGAAAATCATCAATGCTAATTCTATACGCTTCGATGCCGCCTCTGTATATATATATATGCCTACGTGTCATTATACAGTCTTAAAACTCAGATCAATGTCCTGTAAACTTAGTCCGACGATGGTACCGTTGGTTCTGAAAAATTTGACGACTTTAATGATTTCTTTATCTTTTGCCTAATATCGTTTATATTTAAGGATGCTGTCTGAATCACAGTGTTAAAAATATTTGGAGCCTTTTCATGGCGGTAAGTCACCTATTCTACAATTACAAACACCTTGCGCCAGGGCACCTTGCGCACCCTTGGATACAAAGAATCAACGAACATGTGGATCCCAAACCATCCGCAAGGTCTTCGACTACCTGAGTCCTCTGAGGATGTCTAATACCCTGTTTAAGCCACTTCCATTGTCGAATGCAAAATGCTAAATGAAACCATTAGGAGACCACCGGGCTAACCGTGGTCGAAACTGCCCTAATGGGGCCGGCCGACGCCTCGTTACGCGGTTATGGCTTTGGATCCCAATCCCGCTCGTTAATTCCCCACGCGAAAATTCGAGCTCACATTAAAGAGATTTGCCAGAAGTGAGACCAAAAGATATGGTCGTAGCCGTAACGAGTTATCACGTGATAAACTGTACAGAAATCCATAGCAAGGTAAACGAGTAATGTACATGAAAAAAAAAAAAGAATTCAAAAACCTTATAAAAATAAAAAAAAAGTAACGTCTGGACGCATAAATTCCTAAGTGGTTTAGACTCTTGTAGACGTAATCCGGAAGTAGTATTTTATATCTCAAGGTCTACGAACCTCTCACGCGGTCCACGAGCAATGTCAGCCAAGCAGAAGCTGTCCGGAAGACCCGTCACTAATTACATTCTCCTCACCAATCACGTTCAAAAGGCATCCAACGATCCACGACTCGTCCCTGCTATCCACGTCGTCAAGTGCTACAACAGTTTCCCTCCTGCTTCCTGGCGCCGGTCCAATCCTCACCAGATTAAAAGCTTCTTGGCTTTCGGTGGAGCTTCTCCCAGGGTTCCTCTCGCGGGACACCAACGCATCGCTTACATGGGACCCACACTGACCCGAGACTCTAATGGGCTCTTCGTGCCACACTTGCACAGTCGTACATATAGTAGTTTCCTTCTTTCACTCACTTTCTCACTGTTCCCTTCTGTCTCTCTTTCTCCCTCTTCCTCTATCCTCAGCCTTCTGGACCACGTTCCTCACAGATAAACTGTACGGGATGGCTGAAGAGTGGCGCTGAGAGCCACGGCTCCCAAAACCGACAATCCCAGCTACTAGGATAACCTAAAACCTGAAACACTGAAACGCTACGGCAATTTACGCCCTACGTTACGTCCCTCCACGCATTACGTATCTAACGTACGTGTTTGCGCGCGACGTTACTGCTTTGCAGTAGCTCGTTGCAACCTGAAAATAGGGTAGGGAATGTGGGATAGGGAAAAGGCTCTTGGCTTCGTTCTCTCCTTATGATTTTTACGGTATTTTACCTGTCTCTTCTCGGTCGCTTATTTCTATACCTTTCGCAAGGTTAGTGCTTTTTTTTTTTAATATGGGTTTTGAGTTTTACCTTTTTTGAAAATTTTTGGATATTAGGGTTTTTCGTGCTGTGACTAATATCGAAATGTTAAATGGTCGGGTTAGTGATAATCGGATTTTCCTTTTTTAATTATGTAAATGGTACAGTTGGTAGGATTGGATTATTCGTTGTGGATTATTTTGCCAAAGGTTGTTGTACTGATGATAGGATCTTAATCTCCTTCTAAAAGGTTTTGAAGGGTATCTTCGTCGACGGTACCGCTACCCCTTCTTTGGTATTACCGGTAGACCTTGATCGTTCGACTAAGAAGCTGATAATTGGGAAGAATTCAGTTTTAATTAGTAATCCGATGAGATTGGAGATGGTCCTCTCCCCTTTGCTCAATTTTTCCACCGGGTAATCTCCTTCGATATTTTGAATGGCCTGGAAATAAAGCTATGGTGATAGAATGTTTTCGCAATCTGTAATTCCTGGATTAATCTCGGGCTGACTTTTATTTTTGGACGGAATAATTTTTTCCGACGATATTCTGGATTTCCTGAAAATGCGAAAAAATCAAAGCGGCGCAAGCGTTATAAGCATATGTACGTGCAAAAAAAAGATGAAACTGCGCCAGGCACTGGCAGCCACTCTGCGTGTAAAGTGTAATCGAGTTAAGACTGATTACTCGGAAAATATATTCAAGTTTAACGAATTGGCTTAAAGTAAAAGGGTTACGGTGGTAAGGGGTGCTTTAAAGCTGATGGCACGTCACACGTATAAGCCGAGCACCCCCTTTCGTGAGATACACAGTTAAGGGAATTAGTATGTAAAATGATTTTTAAGAATTTGATAAATCCGTGACGCCACGTGAATATGAAAAACAGAATTTCGTTAATTAACAAACCGAAATGGTTGATAACGTTCAACAAATTGTTCGCGGATACGAAAATTAAATTGAACCATATGATACGGACAAATACATACATTGGTATCTACATCAGGTTAATTCCATGTTAATTAAATGGATTGATGCGATGAGATTGTAGTTACGGGGATTTTTTGGAAAATCGACTGAAAAAACCGATGACTAAAAAAGTAGCGATAAAATTGTTAAAAAATTTACTGGGCTAAAAATATTAACTGAGAATAATAAATTGGTATGGTTAAAATTTTAATAATTCAAGAGTTCTTGGATTTCAATTTTTAAATTGCCAAGACATATTACACTCGAGTTACACTTTACACGTATGACAACGACATAGCGGTGTCGTTAAATGACGTAATTATTCTTATAAACGCAAATACGTCTTTTTTCTGCTCGAAGTAAAATTTATATTCATTTGAATTTCGCGCTATTATCCGTCACAATAATTTTCACTGTAACGTGCAATAGCGCAATTCTTATATCAAAATCACACAAAAATTTGTTTGCTTTGACAATAAAATAAAAAATCTTGAAAAAGTAACGAGCGTTTCCAGCACTTTCGAAAGGAATTTCAAAAAAGCATCATGTTACACCGTCACTCGCGCACGTGACTTTTTCGAGAAACTGTACGACAAAAATGTACGATCCTTGCGCGTACACTATCTCGCGCGGTTTGATAACGTTTTCGGATAGCCAAAAATTCAAAGAAGAAAATAAACACAAAGTTTAAAGAATACAAGAACGTATAGAGAATGGCTTCGAGAGGATAGCTAACAGTGTCGAACACTTCCTTTCCAAACTGAAACGAAAAACGTTCATTCCCTTCTTCTTGTACTCGACGAATTTACCCCCACTTGTTTATCTCGTAGATTCGCGCTCTCTGGACCAGTTCCTGCGAGGCCGGACTCATTCTCACGGGGTTGGTAGAGATGCTGAACGCTGAGAACTGGACAACGGTCAAGCTCGGGCCAGGACCCCGCGGGAGAAGCAGCGGCCCTCTTAGGGGATGAATCTTCCGAGATCGAAAAGGGGTTGCTATTTAATTCTGGTTTGATCCAGAGGGATGGTACTCATCGCGTGAGAAAGGGCTGTCAGATACGACCTTCGACTCTATCTTCTGGACTCTCTGGACTCTCACCCTATATCTCCTACAGCTATACTTGCACTTGGACCAAACTACCCCCAGCGCTGGGATACGTTTCTGATTTTCTCGAAGGATGGAATAAATCCGGAGCCAGTTCCGTTACGGACTGGACTCCCAGACTGGACTTGTTTCTTCATCCCTTAACGTTTTTCTCCAGTACGACCAAGGAAAATAAATTGAATTACACGTTTGATACGCAGGACCTATTTTACTTTGAAAAACGTCTTATTAAGCATTTGCCACTTGGAAAATCCTTTTGGCGAACATTTAGCACGTGATTAGCCAACGCGATGCATTGACCGCCATCGCGATTCCGCTTGCAAATAAAATGAATTTGTAATATCGATCGACCGGAAATTGGCAAGATGGCGTAGAGGGACGAGGACAGATCGATTTAACGATTTCGGAGATTTGGCTTGGCTACGTTCATCGGTACCAGGATAAGGGTAGGAAATCTGGCGGATCTCCGAACAAACAAGAAATCACACGGTAGAGGTGACACAGACGCTAGGCCAGTTTCCGGCAACCCCCTAAGAAAACAAAGCCCCGTACACGCAACCCCCTTTCACACCCCCTATACCTACCAGGCACATTCGCCACTGCGAAATACGGCACTAATAACCTCGCCCACTGTTTTGTTAACCTGGCAGATTATTGTGGGAGCCTGGGGATCCGTGCACATGTGTACAGTGTGTATACGTATATATACTTCACCGTACGTGAAAACCTATGTAGTCGATACCACATAACGCCAAAGTACAGGGGACACGATGCGAGCAATTCGGATAATATTTACCTTCCACACGACGTAGGGCTACTTAAAATCTCCCAGGGGTGCGCGCGAGTGGCTAATTTAATTGCACGGTCATGCATCGGCTCTGCGATGCCAGTGCACTGGCCTACGTTACTGCATGAATACGGGGATGCATGCATATGGGGAACGTTAATGATGACACTATTAACTCGATGATCATTTTCGTATTTAACGGCCATAGAAATCATGCGTTTCAGCTATCTACGTACTATTTGAAATTAGGATGACTTCAAATACACATTTAATGCTTAAATTTTTCGTAATAATTTACAAACTATATTTCTTTAGCTTTTATTAAAGAAATTCTTCAATGCCTTTTTCGAGGCTCACGGTGAAATATAAAGGTAACTAAACTAAATAGGCTGCTCTCTCGCGGCGCACCTTGATAATGTTGACTCTCCGTTTTTCGGGGACCTTTTGCGAGGATCGATCGCTCTTGGGAACTAAATAATTCCAAGGCGTCCGGGAAAGAGAGTTCTTCGCTGTGCGCGAGGGAGGAAATTGCTACGGGACCCTCAAGCATATGGGGGTTGCAAATATTTCCTCGTGAACCGAAAGGGCACGACCATAGAGAAAACTGTCGATTCTAGCGAGGACGAGAAAGATAGATATATATGGTAAGAGTATAGGTGGGTAAATAACATGAAGTGACGTTGCCAGAAAAGCGGGCAGGTGTCGCACGCATTTTCGTACCAGGGACGTATAAGGTCGTGGGGGGTTAATGGACAAAGGGGTGCAAGAGGGTGAAAAATACCTTAAAGTCCTCGATCTTAAAACCATTTCCAGGAATCAAGATCTTTTTTCTTCGTACTTCACGCTTACGTCCAACTTCTCTTACAATCAGTATGGTAGCTATAACTTCTTGGTAGAATCGTAACCCTCCCCTAAATGCAACCCTCCAAGGACATACCAAGTACCCGTCCGATCCCGCTTTTCCCACCCGCGCTCACTCGAACCTTGAATAGTATCGTAGCCACGATCTCCAGTGAATTCTACTTGTGCCGGGGGATGAGCCCGGGGATCGGACCAAGCCGTGTGGCACAAAACCACCCTTATCGGACGCATATTTGCCAGCTTCTGCAAATCCCAACGATTCGAAAACCCGTGTGTCCCGGAACCGTATAGGCGGCTATTTCGTCTCCGGAGGTTCCGCTGCCTACGGTTCACAGGCTGCTACCCTCTCGTCTCGGTCCCTCCTCCCTTTGGAGACTCGGCAGAGGCTTTGAGGGATGATGGAACGACAGGGGGTGGCAAATAGAGTGGGACAGCGCGAACAAGGGTGCCGTGACAAAAGAGCGAAGGACTCGCAGGAGCGAACCAGAGGGATGGATGCGAGGCTCCCTGGGAGTTCGAGTGAGCACGACCTAAATGGAACGCGGGCTTTAGGGGCTGAGGGGTTGAAAAGTTCAATTGCGCGTATTTTCGCTATGGCGTCTCGCAAATCCTACAACTCTACCCCCAGCTAGAGGAAGGAGAGTGGAATGATACCCGTCGGCCGCACCCCTCTCCTCCCTACTCCATTTCCGCTTCTAGCTTCCTCCCATTCCGCATACTGTTGTTACCCCATCGGCTAGCAGCCAGGAATTCAACCCTCTTCTAATCGCTCCTCGGTATTTAACTCTATGGGACGCAACCCCCATGATGACCGCCTACGACGGATCTTACTTACACACGTTGACAATATTCTAACGTTGCTGGGGCTTGTTGCTTTGCGATAGGCAATTATTTGTCTATTAGAGGAGGGTTCATTTTGTTTGGGGAAAATCCATATTACCCTGTGAAGGACTGTTTTATATAACGATAGGTAGCTTCCAGAGGATGATTTTGCATTAGCAGATAACAACCCTTCTCTTGAAAATAGTTTACGGGTGGATCGGCTAAGAGAAATCAACACATGGGGTAGCTGTTAAGACTCACGGACATCAAGGGTATACGTATAAGTGCGGGTAGGGATGGTAAATTTTGTTTTATCATCGGGGCGCGGATGACTAATTGCCTTGCTTAGAGCATAGCGGGAGAGACGGGGGGGTATTGAGGCCGAGAACTTGGGGTTGAAAATTTACGCTAAAGCGACTTTAATTTTGATTCATGGCAGAATTTCTGGAGCGTTCCTGGATAAATTCTCCGGGCGTCATTTGCTACCTGAATCCTGGGTCTGCGTCATCTCGCAATCGGAGGACCTTCCAACTCAAAGAAAAAGGACGTAGAAAAACGTCATTTCCACCAACATTCAAAGACATATCGTTCACCCTCGTTAGACACGGTTCGCCGGCAAAGATTCCCACGTACTTATACACAGAATCTTTCAGAAAGAACAATCAGTCTCGTAAACCTTGCCCGTCGCTCATAACTATGCCAAAGTTCTTCCACAGGTATATAATATAGGTATTATATATATTATTTACATCCATTAGATTTAAACGGTTTAAAGTAAACTAATTTTTCCTCAATAAATATTATGGTACTACCAAGAGCGCAAACAAGTTCCAACCACCCTACACCTACATGTATGACAAAACGTGAATCAAGAATCATAAGTAAAAGTCTCCTAGGCAAAAATGTCCTGAAAACGTCTGCGTAAAGACATTTAAAGAATTTGACCTTTTCAGTATCCCCAGCCTTATTTGCTCCTGTCTCTCTCCGGCTGTTCATCCCCTCAATGCTGGTGCCCTCTGCACCCTAGTAAGTTTAGTCTGGTTCGTTCTTACGTTTTCCCTCTCTGTCCCTCTCTTTCACTAAGGGCTGTTCCATCCCCCCTCTCCCACTCTCCACTCGCGCTCTTCGGGATCATAAACCTTGCGGTGGCGAACGGGCGCCCGGGTCCTGGGACTTTTCAGCCTGCCTGAACCCGCCCTCCGCACTCAATAATCCCGTAGCGCTATAGCAGCCCCTATTACAAACCCTCTCGCTTCTTTGCCACCCCCTAAGCGCCGTTCGACCCGGCAGCCAGCACCCACCCCACCCTCGGTACACTGCCTAGCATGAAACCGCCCTTGTCTTCTCCTGGAATGGATTGATGGAGCAGGCTGTCCCTGCTGAAACGATAGATAGATCTTCGAGCACCTCCGCACAAAATTCAACCCCTAAACTAGTACCAACTGAGCTACCTTATAATATAATAATATGACACGAATGAATGTCTCTAATATTTCTATGAAAATTAAAATTCGCCTACAGATATTTTCAATCAAAATTAACCAGACACCTGATATTTAAAAAACTTTAATTCCAA